GATTTCTTGGCACTTGAGGCAGAGGCAGGAGGATCACCACAAATTCAAGGCCAACCTGAAGTGCACAGACCCTTGTCTCCAGTAAAGTTGAAGGAGTCAAACTTGATTAAAAATGGCTGAGGGTGTAGGGCAATGCAAAGGTTTTGGGCACTGTTCCAACTGCAGCTTTTACGAGTTGGTGTAACCGCTCTGGAGCTGTCCGCTCAGAACCCTGTGCTGGACAGAGCTGCCAGGAGATGTGCCCAGCCTTGGGACGGGACCAGTGCCAGCTTTCTCTGGACTGAACCTGGGGACTACTGAGCTGAATTCCCAGTACCTTGTTTGCTTTTTGAGACGGGGGGGTCTCAGTAGTTCAGGCTGCTGTGGACCTCGTGGCCCCTGGTGAAGGCCAGGAGGACAGGAGGTGCCGCCACTCACAGCAGGCCCCTGTGTTTCCCAGGCTGGCTGGGGCGTAATCCTGGCTGGCTGTCCACATCCCTCATTTCGCTGGCCTTGGGGAGAGGGGCAAGGAGCAGGCTCGACCTCACCTGGATCTCTGGGGACCCAAGAGGCCTGTTGGATCCGGGTGGTTTGGGCCTTGAGCCCAGGGTTGCCTCCTGGCTGGGCTGGGCTTTCCTTGGCAGTTGTTCAACTTAACAGTGTTGTGCAATTATTGCACTTCACATCACCTTTCTCCCTCACCTCTGCATTCAGGAAGGTGAGAGGAATGCCCTTCATGCCCTGGGCACAATGGCCCATGCCTATAGTCCTAGCACTGGCAGGCTGAGGCAGGAGGATCCCAAGTTTGAGCTCAGCCTGGGCAGTTTAACAATTTAGCAAGACCCTATCGAAAAGGGCTGGGGATGCAGCTCAGTGCAAAGGCCCTGAGTCCAGTCCCCAGTGCTGAAAGTCTTGGTGCCAGTCTGCTAGGCTGTCTGAGCACTGTCCTGACTCTGCTTCCATATCCCTCTGCAGAGAGCCCCTTCTGCACACCCCCACCCCCCACCTCCATGTGTCCACCTCCCACTCCTGCCCACCTGCCCCACGTGGGCAGCACCAGGCTCCAGTGTGGATGGGACAGCTGGTTCGCTGCTGATGGGTTCTCTTCCAGGACGGCAATTGTTTAAATTGGTTTGAATCCCCTCTATTGCCTGTGGGCCTCCCCGCCGCACCTACGAGGCTCAGCTCTGAAAGTGGGTTGCAGGTTCTTCCTCTGGGGGAAAAGCAGGGTCCTCCCTGGAAGTGCGCTGGGAGTCACCAGTATGAACACAGTGGCATGGCGCAGACCGCAGTGCTACCACATGGGAGCATGTGTCACTTGAGTGCCCTCCTTGCAGCCCTGAGGGCCTCTTGAGCTTGACCAGCAAAGTTCTAGAGCCGGAAATGGAATGGGCTCCAAAAAGAACCAGTTTTAGATCCCAGGTTAAAAACAAACCTAGTCAGAATTTAAAAATTGGTAAGTCAAGGCTGGTGGTGCATCCCTGTAATCCCAGCACTCAGAAGGCTGAGGCAGGAGGATCGTGATTTTGAGGATTGAACCCAGGGCCTTTGTACTGAGCTACGTTCCCAGCCTTTTTAAATTTTTTTTTTTTTTTTTAGTACCAGGGATCGAACTCAGGACCTTTCACTTTCGAGGAACCACTGAGCTACATCCTCAGCCCGGAGTGCTGGGGTTAAAGGTGTGCACCACCTTGCCCATCTGGGCTTCAGCCATTCTGATGTCTCCTTGCTCTGGCGTCTGTTTTTGCCCCTGGACTTCCTGTTGTTCACTTGTCCTTGCTCTACTTGAGCCTCAGCAGTGCTTGTGCTTAGCGCCTGCGGGGCCCTGAGTTCAGCCCCAGTGGGGTAGAGTGGGCTGGCCAGGCGGTGGCCAGGTCAAAGGTGTGGACAGCCCTGGGGGCACGGGCCGGGCAGGACGTGGCAGCGGGGCACTCAGGTCTCAGGCTGCTGCCCGTGGCGCCTGCACACTGGTTGCCGAGGCTCCTGTGATGTCACACAGCTGGGCCGTCTGGGCCAGCTGCCCCCTCGGCTCGGGTCGCTCTGGGCACAGTGTGGCCACCCCCGCCCTGGAAGGTGAGTGCCTTGGACCCCGGACCCCGACCTTAGACAAAGGTCACGGCCGCCCCACCTGACCCCCAGGAGACCTCAAGCTGGACGCCTGCGGGGCAGGGCCGGAGAGGCCGCGGTGCTCTCCCTGCCCCAGGCTGGGGCCTTGGGAAGGGCAGCTGGCTGGACACTCTCCTCCCTCCTCGACACACCAGTTCTGGGTGGCCACTAGGAATTTGCCTGCGGAGGTTAGCAGTGGCTTTGTGCCAGCACGCAGTGTTTCCGAAGTGTGATCTCATCTGAGGCAGTTTCCTAGAGCAGAGTGGGTGTGTGTCCATGTATGGGACTTGAAATAAGCCATCGGCCTGGGCCTAGTCCTGAACTGTGCTGCTTCCGGTTGCAGAACTTTGGGATCTGGTGGGTTCTATTTTGTTTTCCTCTTTTTTGAGACAGGGTCTCCCTATGCAGTTCAGGCTGGCCTTGAACTCACAGCCATCCTCCTGCCTCAGCCTCCCAAATGCTGGGATTACAGGTGTGTGCCGCCATGCTCGGGCCCTCCAGGGGCTGGCCCACAAACCCAAAGTACAGTGGCCGTCCCTAGAGGGGTCGTCCCCTGAGAGGACTGGCCATCAAAGCTTTGGACCTTGAGAGGTGGCTTTCACCTTTATTCTGGTGGTAGCCAGGGGTGGTGGTTGCACGCCTGTGACCCCAGCACTCAGGAGGCTGAGGCAGGAGGATTGCTGCCCATTCAAGGCTATCCTGGGCTACCCAGCAAGACCCTGTCTAAAAAAACAAACAGGTGTTCACAGTCGGGCTGTGCATGTTAAGAAGTGTGCACACATGTGACTTGGCAGTGGGAGCCCCAGGGGAGGTGGGGAGCAGCGTCAGAGAGAGGACCCATCCTGATGTCCTGATTCCTTCTGCCCCAGACCTGGGTTAATCCCTGGCCGCCCTGTGCGGAAAGCAGCTTAGCGAGGAGCCCACTAAGGTGCCACCAGACTGCCCTGGCCCAAGCTCTGGTTTTGTGCTGTGATTCTGTGCATTTATTCTGTTGCTCTGAGGGGCAGCTCCACCAGGAGAAGGCAGCTCATGGGTGATGCTGGGCCCCAATAGTCCAGGTGATGCCAGGGAAGACTGCTGAGTCCGCCCTGCCAGGTTTGTGTTCCCTACAATGGGATGAATTCTAGGAACAGTGGAGGCTGAGTGGGAAGAAGTCTTGCTTTGTAGTGCAGGCTGCCTTCTCCTGCCTCAGCCTCCCGAGTGCTGGCATTACAGGTGCCGCCATGGCTGTCCCATATTTTCTTTCCAGGGCCAGGGAGCTTCCTGCCTGCAGCCCCACCCCCACCTCCCAGACCCCGAATTTCTTCATTGGTTCCTGTGCTGCTGGGCCGGGCTGACTGAGGCCCCTCTAGGACGCACATCTCATGTTCTTGCATGCAGACCCAGAAGGCACAGCCGGACCGTGTGATAGACACTTACTTGTTCATATTTATTTGTGATCCTGAGGGCTGAACTCAGGGCTATCTCACGGAGCTATGTCCCAGCCCTTTCTAATTTCTACATTTTGAGACAAGGTCTCCCTAAGTTGCCCAGGTGAGACTTGAACTTTTGATTCTCCTGCCTTAGCCTTCCAAAGTACTAGAATTACAGGCATGCACCACCACATCTGGTCTTACTGTTTTGAGGAAGCTCCATCCTTTTCCACTGTAGTTGTATTAATTCATGTTCTGATCAACTTGGCTCACACCTATAGTTCCACGCTCTGCAAAGCTGAGGCAGGAAGACTCGGTCCTGCCTGGGGAACTTAGACCATGTCTCAAAAAAAAAAATAGCTAACAACATCCAGCTTTGTTGGGGGAGCAAAAGATAGGGCCTTGCTATGTAACCCAAGCTGGTCTCTAACCCACGATCCTCCTGCCTCAGGCTCCCAAGTACAGCAGCATCTTGCTTGGGCGGAAAGGGCGGGTCATCTTGCGGAAGGGGCCGCCACGGGGCGGAGCCTGAAGGCAGGAGGCCTGACCCTGGCTGAGGCCGGAAGTCAGCACCGAGGGTCGGAGGAGGGCCTGGCTCGAGTGGGTAAGGGCTTGCAGTGCTGGTGCGGCCTGCCAGGGATGTGCGTGCGTGCGTGCGTGCGTGCGTGCGTGTGTGTGTGTGTGTGTGTGTGTGTGTGTGTCTCACATGTGCACGCGCATGTGCGCTGCCCCTCTGGCTGGCTGTACCAGGGCGTCTGTTGTTGGCTGGAAACCCAGCCCAAGCGCCTGTCCAAGCCCTGACTTACATCTATGAGACTTATTTCTTTTTCTTGCTTTTTTTCACTGCTAAGATGGAGCCCAGGGCCTCGTGCTTGGCAGGCACGTGTTCTACCGCTGAGCCACGTTCTCAGCCTCTTTTTAAAATCTTATTTTGCGGGCCGGGGATTTAGCTCAGTGGTTCCAGTGCCTGTCTTGCAAGTGCAAGGTCCCAAGTTTGATCCCCGGTACACCCCCAAAATAAATAAAATTTTATTTTGAGACAGAATCTCACTAAGTGGGACTGGCAACCCTCCTGCCTCAGCCTCCCCAGTAGCTGGGGTTGCAGGCAAGCAACTACCATGTCTGGCTGCGGAAACATTTCTAACTAAGTCCTCTGTCTTGCACAGCTTGGTGCCACTGTAACAGGAGGCCAGAGGCCAGGTATTTTATAAAAGGCAAAAATTGATTTCTTAGCTTGGCATGGTGGTGCATGCCTGTGATCCTAGCACTTGGGAGCTGAGGCAGGAGGATCTCAGGTCCAAGCCCAGCCTGATGACTTAGTGAGACCCTTTCTGAACATAAAATTAAAAAGAAAATACTAGAAAATCCATTCCCTCCTTTCTTCCTTTCTTCCTCCTTCTCCTTTTTTTTTAGCACTGAGGTTGAATCCTAGGCCTTCACATTGAGCTAAATTCCCAGGCTTTTTAAAATTCCTCCCCAAGTTCGATCCCTGTTACCAAAAAAAAAAAAAAAAAAATTTGCCCAGGCTGGGGTTGAAGCTGGGATGCTCCTGCCTCAGCTGGCCGAGTGTTGGACCCCTGGGTGAGCCCCGCCATCCCTGGTCTCTTTTTTTTTGGTGCCGGAGATCGAACTTGGGTCCTTGGGCTTGTGAGGCAGGCAGAGGAACCACTGAACTAAATCCCGGGCCCTGTCCTTGGTTTCTGTCTAATGCTGTTGCATTAGGAATTGTGTTGGGCTGGGGATTTAGCTCAGTGGTGCCACCACCTGCCTTGAAAGCAGAAGGACCCAAGTTGGATCCCCAGTGCCAAAAGAAAAAAAAAAAAGAGGAATTGTGTTGTTTGGTTGTGGTTGCTTTGCTTTGCTTTTTTGAGGCAGGGTCTCACCATGTAGCCCAGGCTGGCCTTGGCAGTGACCCTCCTGCCTCAGCCTACAGGCGTGCGCCACCATGGCTGGCTTGGTTTGGGGCAGAGCAGGTGCCCTCGCCCTCTGGCAGACGCTCACAGCTGAGCCCCCATGTGCAGTCAGAGCCACGTGTGGCCCCCAGGGGCCCGGAGGACAGCGAAAGTCAGGGGGTGAGGACAGACAGTGACCACAGTAGAGCAGGATGCAGGGTGGGGGAGCTGTGAGGGATGTGCGTGTGCACACGTGTGCAAAGGGTGTTGCAGTGTGAGCACTGCCTTGAGACCACAGCACTTGGGAGGCTGAGGCAGGAGGATGGTGAGTTTGAGCCAGCCTGGGCAGGTTAGTGACTTAGCAGGACCTTGGCTCAAAGCAAGAACAAGAAGGGGCGGGATTGGCTCAGCACAGGGCCTGGCTCCTGCCCGCGTGGGGCGGGGCAGCTGAATGGAGGGTCTCCCTGGGTGTGGAGCTCGTGTGGGCGCGGGGCTGCGTGACTGCCTGAGGACCAGGTGTCTTCGGGCCCTGTGCCCTCTGGGGTGACAGCCTGGCGGCACCGCACACTGTCTCAGGCTGGCTGGTGGGCTCGAGAGCGAGGGCCGCAAGCAGGGAGGGGAGTGAGGAGGAAGCCGGCCTTTCCAGACTTCCAGCCTCCCTGACTCAGTTTCCCCGGCAGCTGACATCTTCACACTGCCCAGGCGCTTCCTCCCGGTCCCGACCCCGACGAGGACCCAGGCCCGGGACCCAGGCCGCTGTCTGCTCACAGCTGGCGTGCGGGGGTGGCTCAAGCAGCACTGAGTTTTTCAAAACAAGCTGTGCCTGGTGTCCCACGCCTGGAATAATCAAGGCACTCTGGGAGGCTGAGGCAGGAGGGTCACAAGCTCAGCCCAGCCCAGGGGAGCTAGCCAGTCCCTGTGTCAAGATTTTTGAAAAGGGGGTGGGGCTGTACTCAGTGTGAGGGCCCAGGGTCCAAACCCCAATGCTGCAAAGCAGACACCAAAACCCCACGCACACTATGTGGCTGGGCCTCCTCTTCTGCATCGGGGCGGGATGGGGCCGGGCGGAGCAGCCCTCCCTGCTTGTCCCTGGTCCCTCATGGTGCCATGCTCAGAACGAGCCTGGTGGCAACAAAGGCGGGAGGGGTTGCTGCCCTGGCCAGCGGCAGTGGGCAGTGGGTTTGGGGCGCTAAGGGCCTTGGGCGCAGGCGCTGCTCGATGGGTGGAGACACAGCCTGGGCCATTGGTGTAGCGACCTGGGGGCAGGGGGGGCCGAGGCTCTGTCCCTGCCTGAGCTGGTGCCAGCCCTTGTTTGGAGTTAGGGCATCACTATGGAGCCCAGGCTGGCCCGGAACTCGGGATCCTCCTGCCCCAGCCTCCCGGGTGCTGGGATCATGACAGGCGCTTCTCCTCTGTGGTGTGCCGCTCTCACCCACTGCCCCAGTTGATGGACGAGGAAAACGTTGGGCCAAACACTGGGCAGGCCTGCTCAGACCATCCAGGCCACCAGAAAGTGACTGCGCCACTCGGGCCAGCAAGGCCAAGGGAGGCCGATGCCTCGGCCATGTCCGGAGGGCAGAGTGGGCACCAAGGCCGAGACCACCCCAGGACTGGGGACTTGGGGGTGGCGCTTCTCTGTGCCCCCTCGCTTCCCCATAGGCCTCAACACCGCCTCCGCCCAGGAGCCCGAGGACTGGGTGACAGGAGGCCCCGGGCCCAGCTGCAGCCTCCACTTCTCCTGGTGAGTGCGGAGGGCAGCTGTGGGCCCCGCTCCTCCCTGCTCTGTGGGTTTCTGGTTCCGGGGACTTTTGTTGTTAACAACCTCACGCTTCTTAGGAAATGCGGCTTTGTGTTACCTGGGCACGCCATTCCCGGGATTAAATCCCCCTGGGCTTTGATTCACGTGTAACGAAAAAGCAGCCGCAGGCAGTAGCAGCACGCATCTGTAGTCTGAGCACGTGGGAGGCTGAGGCAGGTGGGTTGAGTTCAAGGCCAGCCTGGACCCTGTCTCCAAACTCAAAACAAAAAACAAGGAAGAGGCTCGGGGAGTGGTGGCTTCCAGCTTCCCACCCAAGTAGATCCCGGGACCCCAGGGCCTGCGAGTCTCCAGGGAGCTCGCTGGGCTGAGCAATGCATTACACTGCAGCTTTATTTCAACTCAAAACTTTTTCCCCCTACAAACCTCCTTTGCAAAGCCCCTGGGTTGATCTTGTGAGGTGTTAACTTTGTCACAAATTCGCCTGGTTGTTCAGGGCTTTGGTTTTAGTTTTTTGAGATGTGGTCTCACTATGTAGCCCGGGCTGGCCTTGAACTCATGGCGATCCTCCTGCCTCAGCCTCCTGAGTGCTGGGATCACAGGCGTGTACCACCACGCTGGGCATGGGCTCTGGGTTTTGACATAGATGTGCTATGGCCTCTGCCACCATGATGAAGACAGAAGGCTCCGGAAAGTCCCTCCCCACCTGACTCTGATCACTTTGTCCCCGACACTCAAATGTTTCTCTAGTGAGTCGAGGCCCCTTGCCCCCTGCATCAAGGCCAAACTCAGTGCCACCTGGGCTGGGGCCAGCAGCTTCCAGAAGCGGCAGAGGAACTCGTGCTGCCACCTCTAGGTGCCTCCTGTGGCCCTCCCCGTTCGTGGGGTGGGGCCGGGCCCCCAGGCCTTGGTCACCCAGCTTGCTGGCCTGGCTCCCATGGGCGTCTGTCTCTCCTCCTCGCCTCTGGGTGTTCAAGGCAGGACGCCATCAAGCTGAGCCCACCTGGGCACCTCGTGACTTAGCCAAACCCTTCTGGGAATAAAAGGCAGAGGGCCGAGCAGCACCCAGTGCTGCAGGCAGGAAAGACAAGCAGGGAGGCGAGCTGCTCGCACCCTGGCCGGGCCGGAAGGGGACCTGGTTCCTGCCGGAATCCGGGGCAGAACCAGGGCCAACACGTCAGACACGGGTCACCTCTGTCCCTCCCTGTGGTGGTGAGCCCTCATCCGGCCCCCAGGGCTCAGGCTGCAGAGCGGCTTCTGCCTGTTCTCCCCTCCGAGGCCGGGCCCCATGAGCCCCCACGGCTGGCCGAAAGGCAGCAGAGAGCAGCAGCCCAGCCTCTCGCCCAGGTCACCCACCTGGCCGAAGCCATCTGGAGAGAGGTGAGTGATAGCGTAGCCCAGCACCCGCCTCTGCTCTTCAGGGGACAGTGGGGCCCCGGAGGGTGGGGTCCAGGGGCCACCCGGGCTTCAAGCTCTGTGGGGACAGCAGCCCCAGCTGCCTCAGGAGTCGCCTGTGTGTGGCTGTGGTCACTCCTGAGGTTCGTTTCCTTTCTGAGAACCAGGGATGGAACCCAGGCCTTCACACTGAGCTACAGCCACAGCCCTGTTTTTAGTCTTTTATTGTGGGGCAGGGTCTCGCTAAATTGCCCAGGTTGGGCTCAAACTTACGGTCTTCCTGCCTCAGCCTCCTCATGTGCTGGGATTACAGGCTCGCACTGCCATGCGGGGCTGTTTTTTTTCCCCCAGTGTTGGAGATTGAGCCAGGCTTGGTGCACATGTGAGCCATATCTTAGCTTCATGTTATACTTTAGAAGAAAGTACACCTTTTTTTGAGACAAGGCCTCGGTACGTAGTCCAGGCAGGCCAGCCTCAAACTCACCTTGTAGGCCAGGCAGGCTTGACCTTGTGACCCTCCTGCCTGAGCCTCCTGAGTATTGGGATTGTAGGTGTATGCCACCACACCTGGCTTGAATTTTTTTTTAATAGGAAAAAGAAAAAAGCATGACTCAAAGTAGTTTGTCTGGCAGATTAATTGCAAACCTGTAAAGATTTAGCTAATCCTCAAATTAATGTCAATTAGCTGGGCATGGAGGTGCATGTCTGAAATCCCAGTACTCTGGGAGGCTGAGGCAGGAGTACTGCAAATTCAAGCCCAGCCTGGGCAGCCTAGGGAGACCCATGTCAGACTATAATCTAAAGACAGGGCTGGGGATAAACTCCGTGTGAAGGCACTGGGCTTAATCCCGTGTCGGAAAGAGCCTGCGGCCCAATTCTGATGGTCCGGACCCTTGGCTGGTGGTCACCGAGGCCCAGGGTTGCTGTGGATGCTGGGCCGGCCCCTGGGAGTGGCTGCTCGGACTTGAGCTCTGAAGAAAGAGCTCACCACGCATGGTGGTGGCGGCGGGCGGTGGACCGGACCGAACAGTTCTGACCACTTCAGGGCTAGCGCAGTGTCCATGGACTTCGGCTCGTTTTCACGCTGACCTCTGCCGAACAGACGAGCAACAGCTGTGTGAGATGAGGGTGGGCAGATGAGGGTAGGCAGTGGCCGGGGGGCGGAGGCAGTCGGTCAAAATAAGAGCGGGGAGCTGTGGTGCACTCTGCAGTCTCAGCCCTCGGGAGGCTGAGGCAGGAGGATCGGAAGTCGAGGTCAGCCTGGATTATGTGACAAGGTCCCCGCGTCTCCAAAAACCAGCAAGTCAAAAAAAAAAATACATTTAACGGTCCGGGGATGTAGCTCAGTGGTGCCACCGGCTGCCTCGCAAGCGCAAGGTCCTGAGTTCGATCCCCAGTACCAAAAAAAAAACATTTAAAAATTCAGAAAGAGGCAGCGAGCTCTGGGAGGTTTTCATGACCTAAGTGAAGAAGGCTGGTGGGGTCCCAGGCACAAGTGCACCCTGAGTGCCACTTGCTGAAGCCGTGGTCAGAAGAGGGACACTGGGGACTGGAGCCACCAGTCGGCCTCCCTGGAGGATGTGGTGTCCTGGGGACGTCCCCACAGGCAGTGGGACTGTTGTGCCCAGATTTCGAGGTCCCCAAAGACCACCAAGGAGCCGATTCCGATGTAAACACTTGAGGGTCGTTTATTCAAGCTCGAGCAGGGACTCCCAACCGTCACCGCCGCAGCGGGTCAAGATTGAGAGCCCTGACTCCAAATCAGCAGGGGTTTTTATAGTAGTTACAGCAAGGTTCTAGATTGGCAATTAAACCTGATTGGTTGTGCCTTGCGTACCCAAGCTGCAAACGGTTACACCTGGGACATTGGGGTAGCTGTTGCCAGGGGACGGCTGAACACTTATCACAAGCAGGTGGGCAAAGTACATCTTGTGGTTTTAGGTCTCACAGGACCTTGAGCCCCAAATGAAGGGACGTGGACACTGCCTGCGCTGCGCAGGTCAGTGGCAGGGCACGGCAGCTCTCCCGCCTTTTTGGCGTGCTTCAGCTTTTTCAGGACAGTCACTGCCAGGGCCTCTTGGAGGGGAAAGGGGAGGGACGGGAGTCTGGGGGTCCGGAACCCCGGCTCCCAGTTCCCTGCGGGCCCTGCGGTGGCCCGGCCGCTTCTGGGGTCGGAGTTTGGAGCAGTTCTCACGCTGGCTTCCGCATCTCAGCCTCAGCAGCTCAGCTCGGGGCCGGGGGCGGGGCGGGGCCCCGCCCTGCTTCCAGGCACCAGCACTGTTGGTCTGGCCGGGAGGGGGCGCTCTGCTCCTGGGCAAATCCGCTGGGTGGGGCCTCAGGCTTTTTGGGGTGCGGAGCAGCAGTGGAGCCACTTTGCTTTGAGACAGGGCCTCACTATGTCTCCCGGGGCCTTCAGTGCCTGGGCTTGCATCCTCCTCCCTCACCCTCCCTCACCGCTGGACGACCCACAGATGCCACTGTGCCAGCCATTTGATCTCACGCAGTTTAAGATTCAGCCAGGTGCTGTGCGTGGCTCATGCCTTAATCCCAGCACTCGGAGGCTGAGGCAGGAGGATTGCATACTGGGATCAATCCCAGTGTTCAGAAGAAAAAAGTCATAGTCATCGGTGAGGCAGATCAGATCACACAAAGCTCGCCGACCTGTGATGGAGGCGGGCTGTCTGCCCTGCCGTGCTGCTCGCCAGAGCCTGCTGACGGCAGAAATCCTCTCCCATCAGCTGTTAGATCCAGTCAGAGACTCGGAGGAGACCCCAGGCCTGCAGGCGCCCTGGCCAAACGCTTGTTGGGTGCTGGGCCAAAGCCTCAGGGGAAGCTGGTGTGTCAGACTCGGCAGCACCTGCTGCCCTGGAAGCCAGTGACATGGACGTGCAGGCCACAGGCGAGGTGAAGCTGCCTCCGGAGCCCCCCCAATGCTGGCAGACATCCGCCCAGCAGAGCCAGGGGGACATGACCACCACCCAGACTCGGGGGTGAGCGGGACAAGGGCCCCAAGCTCTCACTTTTCAAGAGGAAACAGGAACTTTTTTTTTTTTTTTTGAAACTGGAACTTTTACTTGCAGAGCCGGAAAAAAGAGAAAGAACTACTATGCGGCCTAACCCAGGTGAGCACTCAGGTCAGGGAGGGGCGGGGTGGGGCGGGCCCAGGGGCAAAGCTGACCCATGTGCCTCAGTTCCCAAAAACAGCTCCTTGGAAAATAACCAGTCTTGGAAACTAGAGATCAAAACTCGCCCAATCAGTCTGTCCTCACCCGACCTGCCTTAAGAGTAGCCGCCGAGCAAGGGGCCAGGCCTGGTGGCACCCAGCTGTGATCCCAGCAATCTAGGAGGCTGAGGCAGGAGCATCAAGAGTTCAAGGCCAGCTCAGAAAGTAGCAAGACCCTGTCTCAAAAAGCCCACCACCAAACCAAACCAAGTCCCTGAAGGCCCTGTGTGGCTCACCCTGGCTCTTTCCTCGTTTTCCCCAGTACTGGGAACTGAAGCCCTGCTGCCCTACCACTGAGCTACTTTATTTCTGGATAGGGTTTCCCTAAAGCGCTAGAGGCCAGTTCTACACCAGTCCGAAGGCCCCAGGCGGCATTTCCGGCTGGTTGGGGGGGCGCCCTGGGGCTCCTCTTGTTGCCTTCCCCTCCCGAATCCCAGTCCTGCTTGGCCAGGCTCGGGCTGGGGTCAGGGTAGGGCTGCGCGGGCAGCGCAGTGTGGGGGCTGACCATCTTCCTGTCTCCGCAGGCAGGTGGGCGTGGAGACTGGTGCTGACACCCCCATCTTATACCCCTGTCCATCGGTCCTGCCCTCCAGCCTGGTGCCCACCCCTGCCCAAGGGCCACATTCCCAAGTGCAATAAAGGAAGCCACAGGCAGCTGCTGCTCTGCACGCTTCCCGCCTTCTGCCTGAACACCCTGCTGGGAGCAGGGCTGGTGGGGACAGTGCTGCCTGGCCCCTGACCGCAGGAGGCGGAGGTGCAGCCCTGGCCCACGGGCTCCCAGGGCCCCTCTCAGGGCCTGGACTGTGTTGTGGGTGCTGGACACTCCTGACCTGGCTCACTGTCCCTGCACGTCCTGTGGCCAGGGCTATTTCCTGTCAGCCTTGCTCTGGTTCCCCCGCCTCCGGCCTTTTGGGGGTAACGGACAGGACGGTGCTGCTGCTAGGACCAAGTGGCCTCAGTGCTCGGGGCCTGTGCTGCTCTAGGGCTGCGACTGTGTTGTCCCCTCGAAGGCACTGTCCTCTGCATGCCTGGCCATGCTGGGGACAGGACAGGTGGTGGAGCTGAAGGAGACACCTGGCTCTGAGGGCCAGCTGGGCCCAGGAGCGCCCTGGCCCCCTGTGGCTGTCTGCGTGGCTGCAAAAGAGCCTGTTCTTCAGGCAGAGCCTGGGGGAGGCTGGGGTGCAGCTGGAGGAGACCAGAGCCGGGTCACAGTTAGGGTTTTATTTCATAAAACAGCGCCAGCTCCCTAAAAACGGCCACTCTGTCCGCGAGTCCACTGTTCCCACCATCAGCCTTGCTCCACTTCCGCCCACTCAGACCCGCCACTTCCCCTCCGAGTCCACACGTGCCCACGGTCACTCGGTGCACAGGACGGCCACGCCGCGCTCGTAGAAGCTCCGCGGGTCCTCCTTGGTGGCGATCTCGAAGTCCACGGTGAAGATGAGGTCGGCCCGGGTGAAGTTCAGGTAGACAGGCAGGGTCACCTGCAGGACAGGGAGGAGGCTGGCGGTGGGCCTGGGACGAGGGCCCTGTGCTGGGGGGACGTGGGCACCGCAGGGCTCCCCGTGCAGAGCAGGGCCGCCGCACTCACCACGCTGGCCGCCTTCTCGGCGTTCGTCTGCTTGACCCAGCGCAGCTGCGTCAGCGGGAGGACGGTGGAGATGGCGTTGGACAGCGACAGTTTGTTGTTACTGCAGGTGGCGCCCTGCAGCTTCAGGCCTGCGGGTGGGAGGAGGGTGACTCCGGTCCCCAGCAGGGACACTGGGGGCAGCGGGGAGCCAGGCCCAGGCCCACGCCTCACCTGTGACCCCAAAGCTGCAGGCGTCCAGGGTGGCGCTCTGGGCGGTGGTGATGTTGACTTCCAGGCACAGCTCCTCCAGCGACCAGCTGTTGGCCTGGGCCACGTACTGCCTGGTGGCCGTGATGTAGGCCTCGGGCACGAACAGGCCGCCCAAGCACACGTGGATGTTCTGTGGGGAGCGGGCGGGTGGCTTGGTCAGGCAGGCCGAGGACAGCGAGGCAGCGCGGCCCAGCCTGGTGCCCCCAGCTGCCTGCCCACCTTGAGTTCTTTGGCGCCGCCTGACGCGGCTGCCTGCGAGATGCTCTGCAGCTGCTTGATGCGCTCACTGAAGTCGGACACCCACTGGATGACGGTCATGCCTGCTGGCACGGTGTAGTGCGACCAGCTCTGGGGCAGGATGCCTGCGTGCGGATGTGGGATGTGGGAGGAGACCGGGCTGGGCTGCTGCCGGCCCCGCGGTCCCGGGAGCCCAGCCATGCCCCTGCCCGTCATGCCCAAGGGGCCAGGGAGGCGCTGGACCCACAGCCAGCTCAAACCGCAGCCCAGGTGTCCTGTCGGTCGTGCCCGGGGGTGAGGGGCAGCAGCAGAACCCAAGCCCAGCTCTGCGCTGGCCCCAGCAAGCTGCTGGGGGCTCCTGGCAGCTCCCGTGGGGAACGGGCCCCGCCCCCCTTCCCTGCTTGACGCCCCGGAGCACAGCTGGGAACCGCCTCCACCCCAGGGGCCCCGGCGGCCCTCAGGTTCCACGGCCAGAGCAGAGCGGAGCAGAGCGGAGCGCCGGGGCGGCCGGGCCCACCTTTGACCAGCGCGTTGATGAGCGTGCGCAGGTAGTTGGTCTGCTTCTTCTGGCCCTCGCACACCCGCACCGCGTCCGCCAGGTCCTGGCGCACAACCCGCAGCAGCTTTGCACCCATCTTCACCTCTCTCTCGAAGAACCGGAAGAGAGGGTCCTGGCGGGGGGCGGGCAGCGGTGAGGGACGGGAGCACGGCAGGGGCCACGCGGCCAGCTGGGCTGGCGCCCTCGAGGGAAGGCTGCTCTGCCCCTTGACGTCCTTTATCCCGCGGGAGCTGGCGGGGCGCTGGGGCCTGTTTCAAGGGCCACGCAGCTGGGTGCGGGGGCGCACACCTCTCACCCCAGCACGGTGGGAGGCTGAGGCAGGAGGACCTCAAGTTGGAGTCTGCCTAAGGAACTTGGCGAGATGCCGCATCAAGATAAAAATCGAGGGCCGGGGATGTAGCCCCGTGGTTCCGTCCCCTGCCTCCCAAGCGCAAGGACCTGACTTCGATCCCCGGTACCAAAAAGAAAAAATAAAAAAATAAAAAGAATAAAAATAGAGGAGGGAGCAGGAGTCCAGGGACTTAGCTCAGTGACATCTCGCCCTCCTTGCACGTGCAAGATCCTGAGTTCAATCCCCTACCGCGGAAAAAAAAACAAGAAAAAAAACGGGAAGTAGCTCCATGGGAAGGGCCTGGGTTCAAGCCCAATACCACAGCCACACAAGTCCTCGGGGACCCTGGTCTTATCCAAGGCCAGGCCCAGCTGCACCCGACTACCTTGATGTTCTCCACGGTGCGCTTGAGGTGGCCCAGCGTCTGCGGGATGAGGTGCAGCCAGTTGGAGGCCGTGGTGTGCAGCGTCCGCATCCAGGCCGGGCGCCCATCAGACGTGGAGTCCGTGCGCGCCTTCTTCTCAGTCTCTGCGTAGGCCAGGTCGTCCTCGTCCTCCAGCATCTGCATCTTCAGCATCTTGCTGATCATATCCACGCCTGCAGGCCGAGGGGACAGGAGGCGGCCGTGAGCGGCTGTGAGCGCTGGGAAGGCTGTGCCCACGCCCAGTGCTTTGGAGATGGGGCCAGGTGCAGGGCGGCCCGGGGATAAAGACCCGGGTCCCCCATTCTGTGGCCACCCCGGCACAGGCCCGGGAAGGGCTCTGGCTGGGGACAGCCATACCCAGCCATGGCACCTCGGCTCTCGGGCCCACATCTGTGCTTCTGCGCTGACCATGGACTGCCCCCGGGGACCCCACAGGCAGACCTAAGTCCTCGCCGGAGCCCGAAGCCAACACCTCCCTTGGGCCTGGGACCGCGCCAGCTACGGCCACGGTGCCATGTCACTCTCCAGGGACCTGCGTGGCTGGGACAAGTGACTGTCCTGGACTGAGGAGAGCTGGGCCTAGCCCGTCTCCCCTGCCTCTCGGCTCAGGGAAGGGCGGAGGCAAGGCTGTGGGCACGGGTGCTCCTCTGCTGGTCCCACACCTCTCCCCAAGTTAGGGGAAGCAGTGCTGCTGGTCCGTGGCACCGGAATGAGAACCAGCGGCTAGATCACCTCCTGGCCCTGGCGCTGCTCCCCCGCCCTGGGAAGGGATCACTTAGCACCACGTCCTTCTCATCCCTTGAGGAGAGCGAGTTTCCGAGCTGGAGGAAAACCTCAGAGCCACACAGCCACACTGCAACGTGGCAGGCACTTCCTCCGGGGCCACCCACCCTGCGTGGTCAGCAGCACGCGCTCGGCATTGTTGGGCAGCCCCAGCCAGGATGGCGTCTGGGTGTCGGGGAGCAGCTCCACCCACTGCACAAACTCTTCTCGCCTGGAAGAGCAGCGGGAGGTGGGTTAGGTTAGGGGTGGCCCGAGCTGCAGGGGACTCCCGGCCCGCCCTGGCGGCCTCCCGGGCACCTGATGCCGTCGGGCATCTGAATGTCCTTGTGCCCGTCCACCTTGCACGCCAGCTTGAATTCACTGTCGAAGCTGCGGGTGGTGAACAGGCGCTCCAGGAAGGTGTTGAGCAGCCGCTGGTCGAACTCATTGTCCACGCGGCCACCGTAGATAGACTGGGCCATCAAGGTCTTGAGAGCCGACCACGGGATCTTATCGGGCGAGATGTTCTGTCGGCCCTGGGGAGGGAGGCACGGCTGGCCACACTCCCCCCAGCAAGCACCCCTTCCCCTGCCCGCTGGCTCTGGCTGCTTCCTCCCAGGGCTGTGGGCCCGGCCGCCCCACGGCCACTTGCCTTCGCCGTGTCATCCAGCCACGTGTCCACGGTGTCGCAGGCTGACCGCAGGTCGGATTCCCCAAACTCGTATTTCTTGGACCAGCCCAGCGGTGCATAGCGCAGGCGTTCTTGGATGACGGCATGGAACCAGGCCAGCAGGAAGTACAAGCGGGCTCGCTCGTTGGGAGACTGTGTGGAAGGGACCAAGGGCAGAGTTGGGGAGAGCAGTGTCCTGCCCGGGGGTCGCGTCACTGGTAGGGCAGGACCTCAAGTCTGCAGCGCTGCCTGCCACATGGTGACCTCTGAGCCTGAAGCCCCTGGGCGTAAGGCACTTCTCCCGGGAATGCGAAGGCGGACATCTCTTGGCCAGCAAGACGTGACACAGGTGACGTCAGAACTGCCGATTATGACTCAGAGCGGAAATGGCGAGATGCGGGAAGAGCTACCGGACGGGACTCCTGCCACAGCCACCCTGCCTGGCACCTGTTTGCGTGGCCCTGGGACTGTGCAGGAGGGAAGGCGCCCCGGCTCCGTGCTGGGACAGGGCTCTGGCAGCTTTGCCGTGGGCCCTCCGCGGCCCACACCAGTGGCTGAGCACCAGAGTATGGACTCACCTTGCCCAGCACAGGAGGAAACTCCGCCTGCACTCAAGGGCAGACAGACCCACGCCTTCGGCATGGCGCTGCTGCTGGGAGGGGGTGAAGGTCCTGGGGTCTTTGGCCCACAAAGGAGCCATGCCAGGAGCACGCAACCATTACCTTGCAGATCCGCGACACAGGGATGCTGCTGAATGTCCGCAGCATGTTGGCCTTCACCCCCGGGGGTGGCTCGAACACAAAGATGCGGCCGGCGCGGAGCAGGTTCACCGGCACCTGGAGGAAGATGCCGCCCGTCAGGCTCCAGGGGTGGTGTCCGTCTGCCACTCTCGCTCCTGCCACCCCGCCAGCCCCTGCACTCACCTTGGGGTTGATCTCCATGGTGAGGAAGAGGCGGAAGCAGGCATGCGGCTGCAGGGAGTGCAGCTTCTTCTCCAGTTGCATCAGCCAGCCGGGGGCCAGGTGTACGTTCTTCAGCATCACCCACCTGTGAAGG